TCTTTTTTTGTCCTTTAAAGCGGATTTCCACCACCTGTCAAAAAATAAAAGTCACATACAAAAACTTACTGCGACTTTTAAAAAACACCATTTCCGTCCCCGGTCCTTGTGGTGTGTCCCCCGCACCTTTTCACCACATCTGTAACCAGGAGCCGCATTTCATGTGGGGCAGCACTGTACAGCTTGCGCTTCACAGCGTACCCACTGCACCATGGCATAGACGCTGCATTCATGAATGGTCCTGATCTTCTGGACCTTCACGTGCCAAAAACCACTACAGAAGGGAGGAGGACACCTTCCACTTCGATCGCCTAGCAGTGGTGGGCAAATCCTTTTTTTTTTCAACTGAGCCAAATCTCGCCAAAACCACGATTGAAATTATTTTGAGAGCCACATTTTTAAAACTGAAAAATACATAGATGTACAACTGTTTTTAGGTTCAATAAGTTTTTTTAGTAAGGCATTCCCCCATATAGTAATTCCCATCCCCCATATAGGAATTCAATCCCCCATATAGTAATTCATCCCCCCATCATTTATTCATCCCCCCATATAGTTATTCATACCCACCAGATTTTTCTAATTCATATAGAATTCATCCCCATAGAATTCATCCCCCATAGTGTAATCATCCCCCATAAAGTAATTTCATCATTCATAGTAGTTCATCCTCATTTATTCATTTCATCATTTCTTATAGTAATCACCCCCATATATATTTCATTGTTTTACCCCATATAGTAAAATAGTTCTTCAGTCCCCCATTAAAATTATTATATCCATCCTCATATTAATATAAAATTCATATATTTAATTTAGCCCCCATAAGTTTTAAATTGTATTTATCCCCTATTATAATTAGTTCCCCATTTATTATAATTCATAATCAAATATAATTCTATACATTAAGTAAATTAGATACGCTTATAAAAAAATTCAGCATCCAAATACAATTAATCCCCCCTATATAATTGATCCCCCATATTAAATTCATCCCCCATATAGTCATTTAATCCCCCAAGTAAATGATCCCCATATACTCAACATTCATCCCCCATATAGTAATTAATCAAACATAGTACATATCATCCCCCCAGAGTTAACTTCAATCCCCATAGGAATTTCACCCTCATATAATTCATCCCCCAAATAAAAAAAAAATATAATTCATATAAAATTATCATTTATCCCCCCATATCATCTATATTCATCCTATTATTTTTCGTTATATTCATTCACACTACAGATTTCTATCCCCCATTTTCGGTACATGGCGATGTATTCTATATTATTCATCCCCCATATAAAATTTCTCATCCCCATATAGTAATTCATATCCCCCCATAGTAATTCATCCCCAATAATATTTATTCATCCCCCATAGTAATTCATCCCCCCTATAGTAATTCAATCCCCCTTAGTTTAATTCATCCCCCCTATAAGTAAGTCATCCACCCCATAGTTTTTTCTTTTTTACCATCCTATTTAATTATCCCCCATATTTTCTTACCCTCATTTATAGTAGTAGTAAAGTAAGGTAGCAAGTAGTAAGCCAAGGTCCCCCCTGTGTCAATTCACTTACACGTTGGCCTCCGCGCGTTCCTCTCGCCGTGTTTGTCCCGCGCCGTGTCCGGTCTTCAGGGCGGCACTGTGAGAGGAGCCTAAGCTCCTCTAAGTTCGTCTCGGCTGCCCCCGCCTAAAACCACGTGGCTCGCGAGCCACGGCTTGCCGACCACTGGCCTAGGTGATCGGACCGGAAGTGGGAGCGGGTACCTGTCAAATTCAGGTACCCGCTCCCCCCCCCCCCGACACCCAAAGGTGCGAATTCTTAATGGGGAGCGGGGGAGCAGTCCTTAAAGTGGAACTTTCCCTTTCTGGAGGCGCTCCGCTTTAAGTTTACTCCTTTTCATCTGCTCTAGTTTGCCTTTAGCCCAAGCAAATGACCTTTGTTATGTCTCATTTTCCTTGCCTGATTTTGTCTTCCTTCATCGGCCCTGTTAATTTTCCTCTCCTCTGTTTGGTAAGTGTTGTCACCTGCCTCCAGTTGCTGTGTATTTACTTTTGGCCAAGGAAATGACTTTTGTTCTTATGTTTCTAGGGGCTTGCGAATGTCCTTCCACAAATGTGATGACGCAACTCTGGTCCAGAAGTCAGTGTTTGTGTGTGAGAACTCATTTTTTAATGTCAATTGCGGCTACCACACATGCAAATGAATTTTGTGTGTGCAATATATTTACTATGAAAACTGTTTGATTTTATTTACAAATGGATTGGTGTTCCTCGGATTGCAACTGGTGAATTAAAATAAAAAAATGAAGGCCTAGGCCAGTGATGGCGAACCTTTTTGAGCCCGAGTGCCCAAACTGCAACCCAAAACCAACTTATTTCTTTCAAAGTGCCAACACTGCAATGAAACCTGAATATCGAGCTTTTGGTTTAGAAAAAACAACTCGTACAGTAGTGCAAACTAATTAACAGCTTTTGTCTTAAAAGAAAAACACAATAACAGAGCTTTCAATTATACAGGGGATGACCAGAGACTGCAGACACAGTACAGGAGATGACCAGAGACTGCGGACACAGTAGAAGAGATGACCAGAGACCGAGGGACATAGTACAGGAGATGACCAGAGACTGCGGACACAGTACAGGAGATGACCAGAGACTGCGGACATAGTACAGGAGATGACCAGAGACCGCGGACACAGTACAGGAGATGACCAGAGACCGCGGACACAGTACAGGAGATGACCAGAGACTGCGGACACAGTACAGGGGATGACCAGAGACTGCGGACATAGTACAGGAGATGACCAGAGACTGCGGACACAGTACAGGAGATGACCAGAGACTGCGGACACAGTACAGGAGATGACCAGAGACTGCGGACACAGTACAGGAGATGACCAGAGACCGCGGACACAGTACAGGAGATGACCAGAGACTGCGGACACAGTACAGGAGATGACCAGAAACTGCGGACACAGTACAGGGGATGACCAGAGACTGCGGACACAGTACAGGAGATGACCCAGAGACTGCGGACACAGTACAGGAGATGACCAGAGACTGCGGACACAGTACAGGAGATGACCAGAGACCGCGGACACAGTACAGGAGATGACCAGAGACTGTGGACACAGTACAGGAGATGACCAGAGACTGCGGACACAGTACAGGAGATGACCAGAAACTGTGGACACAGTACAGGAGATGACCAGAGACTGCGGACACAGTACAGGAGATGACCAGAAACTGTGGACACAGTACAGGAGATGACCAGAGACTGCGGACAGTACAGATGACTGCTGACCTTTGGGGAGGGAGGGGGAGCGGGTACCTGAATTTGACAGGTACCCGCTCTTACTTCCGCAGAGTTTTTTTTTTATATCTTACCTGTTCCTTCATCCAGCCGCGCGCTGTCTTCCCGGCTTCTGTAGTGTGGGCGCTCGTCGGACAGCCGGATGCCCAGTGCGCATGCGCGAGAAGCGGTGCGCTTTGTGATTGGTCCGGCGGCTTCTGGGATCTGTCATGTGTCCCAGGTACCGCCTTACCATTCACAAAGAGCACCGCTTCTTGCGCATGCGCACTTGGCACCCGGCTGTCACGCACACTACAGAAGCCGGGAAGACAGCGTGCCGCTGGATAGAGGGACAGGTAAGGTCCCACTGCAGAGCTGAGCGGCCGGCCCGGTATTCTGACACGGCGGCGGTGGAAATACCGGACCGGCCGCTCTATATTCGCTCCATAAGACGCACTGACATTTTCCCCCCCTTTTTTGGGGGAAAAAAAGTGCGTCTTATGGAGCGAAAAATACGGTATTCTCCTGGCGTGCCCACAGATAAGGCTCGGCGTGCCGGCTGTGGCACGCGTGCCACGGGTTCGCCATCACTGGCCTAGGCTGACATGGTAAATATTCAACCTGTCCACCAGCTAAATTCAACAGTCCCTGAAGTTCAGCTTCGGAGCTGGTAAAGTGTTTTTGTGGTATTTTATTTTTATTTAACACGTGTGCAGAATAAAAGGTCTATTTTGTAGACTATTGTATCTTTATTTGTGTGGGTGTTAACAATACATTCCACTTAAGAAAAAAAAAATGTTTACTGATCCAGCAAATACAGAAATAGTTTTAAACATTGTACATTTATGTTGACAGCAGCAACACAATTAGGTACATTCATTTACTTGTGTAAAAAGAAACAGTTTTTATTGTGCTACATTTCGCACAGCACTTTACAAGAGGGATAGAAGGGCCCTCTTCATAAAAGTGTACAATCTAAAAAGGATCACAACTTAACTTTCACAGTGTAAAGCAGGTAACAAAATAAGGCTAATATTAACCACTTGCCGCCCCGGCCTATAGTCATATGACGTCCTTCCCGGATCGCGCTGTGGCGAGGTCTGTCACCGGCCATGTACCTCAGACACGGCCGATGACAGATCTGTGTACTGGCCCCGTTGTCAGTAACATTTGACCTGCTGTGACCAATCACAGCAGGTCACATGACAGTTGTATACAGTGGATGGCTTCATTCATGACATCCATTGTATACTAGTGTGTCTAGCTGTGAATGGTCACAGCGATCACATGCACAGGCTGGGGCAATCACAGCCCATCTGTGTCATGTGATTTAGCCGTGGCCAATCACAGCTAATCACAACAAAAAAAAGCTGAATGAATCGATTTTATTCAGTTAAATGCTTGCTTATAGCAAAGAAATTCTTTGCTATAAGCAATCAAATTGTGTAAAAAAAAAAAAAAATACTGATCACTTCCCCATTACATTACGCTACTTTGGTCATAGTGTAATATGAAAAAGAAATCTGAAAAAAAAAGAGAAAAAAAAAAATTGCAAGAAATTTTTTTTGTACTTTCACCGGTCAGTGTCCCTGATCACCGCCACACTAGTTATATGCTGACACTGAACTGCACTGGTGACAGTGTGTAAAGAAAAAAATGTGAAAATAATTTTTTTAATTTCGTTATTTTCAGAAAAACTTATGACAAAAAAATTACTTAAAAAAAACTTGTCATGCCTCTTATGAAATGCGTATGTCAGATTGTCTACTTTGCAAAAAGTAAAAAATATCTGTACTGTTCTGACATTTGGGGGATATCTGTACTGTCCTGACATTTGGGGGGATATCTGTACCGTTCTGACATTTGGGGGATATCTGTACTGTCCTGACATTTGGGGGATATCTGTACCGTTCTGACATTTGGGGGATATCTGTACCGTTCTGACATTTGGGGGATATCTGTACCGTCCTGACATTTGGGGGATATCTGTACCGTTCTGACATTTGGGGGATATCTGTACCGTCCTGACATTTGGGGGATATCTGTACCGTCCTGACATTTGGAGGATATCTGTACCGTTCTGACATTTGGGGGATATCTGTACCGTTCTGACATTTGGGGGATATCTGTACCGTCCTGACATTTGGAGGATATCTGTACCGTCCTGACATTTGGGGGATATCTGTACTGTCCTGACATTTGGGGGATATCTGTACCGTCCTGACATTTGGGCGATATCTGTACCGTTCTGACATTTGGGGGATATCTGTACCGTTCTGACATTTGGGGGATATCTGTACCGTCCTGACATTTGGAGGATATCTGTACCGTCCTGACATTTGGGGGATATCTGTACCGTCCTGACATTTGGGGGATATCTGTACCGTCCTGACATTTGGGGGATATCTGTACCGTTCTGACATTTGGGGGATATCTGTACCGTCCTGTCATTTGGGGGATATCTGTACCGTCCTGTCATTTGGGGGATATCTGTACCGTTCCTGACATTTGGGGGATATCTGTCCTGTCCTGACATTTGGGGGATATCTGTACCGTTCTGACATTTGGGGGATATCTGTCCTGTCCTGACATTTGGGGGATATCTGTACTGTTCTGACATTTGGGGGATATCTGTCCTGTCCTGACATTTGGGGGATATCTGTCCTGTCCTGACATTTGGGGGGGATATCTGTACCGTCCTGACATTTGGGGGATATCTGTACCGTTCTGACATTTGGGGGATATCTGTACCGTCTGACATTTGGGGGATATCTGTACTGTCCTGACATTTGGGGGGATATCTGTACTATCCTGACATTTGGGGGATATCTGTACTGTCCTGACATTTGGGGGATATCTGTACTGTCCTGACATTTGGGGATATCTGTACTGTCCTGACATTTGGGGGATATCTGTACTGTTCTGACATTTTTGGACCTCAAATTAGATTGGCCGTCAGTACTTCAGGATCGATCAATTTTCAGATATATACCATAGTTTGTGAACTCTATAACTTTCCTACAGACTAAATAATAAACATTTGGGTTATTTTCACCAAAGACATGTAGCAGAATACATCTTGGCCTAAATTTATGAAGAACAATTATTTATTTGCAAACTTTTATAACAGAAAAATAAAACGTTTTTTTTTTTTTAATTTTTGTGTTTTTTTTGTTAATTTAGCAAAAAATAAAAACCCCGGCGGTGATTAAATACCACCAAAAGAAAGCTCTAGTTGTGTGAAGAAAATGATAAATTTTAGTTTGGGTACAATGTTGTATGACCGCGCAATTGTCATTCAAAGTGTGAGAGCGCTGAAACCTGAAAATTGGCCTGGACAGGAAGGGGGAAAAAGTGTCCGGTATTGAGGTGGTTAACCAGGCAACAAATCTCACCACCCACCTACCCCCTATCAATTTGTTAGGTGCAAGATTCTCAAAAACAAAACAGGGTATAAAAAAAATGTAAGAATGCAGTACATTCACAACATAGCGCCAACACCCCCCCTCCCCCCAGTTCCCACACACATACATTTCTGATTATGGTAAGCAGGATGCTGCATTTCTGTCTACATGATAAAGCAAACTATATCAAAGTTAGGTGTTGTAAGAGTAGAACAATTGACATTTGATACTAACAGCAACTGTCAGCAAATGCTCGCAAACTATAAACGCATGGTCAGACAGGAAAAACACCCAGAAAACTTAAGCCATGCCCACAAAAAACCCACTTTTGAGGGTCAAATGCAAACAATTACAGCAAAACACACAAAACAAACATTAAACCACTTCCCGTCCGGCCCATGTACATAAACAGCCGGACGTTACATGCTTACCATGTACATAAATGGCCGGGCAGGAGCAACGCAGGAGCAAGTTGCCATTCATAAATGGCGCCCGCATTTACAGGCTATGTGTCTCCCTGGGAGTGTGCAGCACCACGATTCGGTACCCACTGTGTCCGGAGGACAGAGCAGAACACCGATCGCTGTATGGGACCTCTGTGTGAGCCAATAAATAGTAGTAAGCAAGATGTCACTTCCTGACATTATTACTACTACTAGTGAAATCTGTGAATGATCACAGAGATCACATGGTACAGGGCTATTCACAACAGCGGTGTACGATGTGACAAGCTGTGACCAATCACAGCTCACACAATATTTCTCATTGGCTGCAAGAATGCAGCCAGAGAGAAGGAGAAATGATTGCTTTTACAGCCTTTATGGGTATAAAAGCATACATTGTAAAAAAAAAAAAATCTTCATCACCCTCCACAAGTAGTACAGTGTCACTATGGTGACACTGTACTGCTAGGGTGACAGTGTGTTAAAAAAAAAACATAAATAATAATATAAAAAAAATAAAATAATGTAAAATAAAATTTTGAAAACTTATAATTTTGGTTATACACTAATTTTTTGGCCAAGATTTATGAAGAAAAATTATTTATTTGCTAAATTTTTATATGAAAAACTTTTTTTCTACATTTTTGGAGTTTTTCATTTATATAGCAAAAAAAAAAATCCCAGTGGTGAAAAATACCACCAAAATAAAGTTTTATTTGTCTCAAAAAAATGCTAAAAAATTCATATGGGTACAGCATTGCATGGCCGCGCAATTGTCATTCAAAGTGTGATAGCACTGAAAGCTGAAAATTGGCCTGGACAGGAAGAGGGTGAAAGTATCCGGACTGGAAGTGGTTAAAACAGCCTTAGTGGGGTATTGGTCAATATGAACAATATTTTTCCCCGCCATGTTTTTCGTCGCCACCTTCCAAAACCCCCCCTTCTCAGGCAAAGCAAACCCCACTACTGCAGTCCTTTATATAACAAAGGTGGTATTGTTAGCACACCCAATAAAGGACATGCCCACCAGTGTCATTCAATCTGTTTCATCATGTATGCACCTGATTAGCACAAATACTTTTTCCAACTGTGTTTGCCCTTAGCTATGTGCATCAATTCTGAAAGCCAAAGATTTACGTCCTTTAGCATGCATGGAGAGAAAGAAACAGTTATCTAAGCATATGTACCTGTGCAGTGTACAACAGAAAATGTGAACTGTCCAAGTACCTGGACATGCTCAGTGCTGAAAAAAAAAAAAGTTGTAAGTTCTTGGACATGTGCAGGGCTGCTTCATCCAGATTGCTCACAAGCACATTGGTCATCAGCATCCAAAACCCATGTCCAGTATTCCCATCTATTCCAATGGCTCTAGTTCACCCCAGTGCAGAGAGTTCTTGTGCAGCCCCCCAAATCAGAACATGATGAATCTGTTCTGCATGGACCTACACTGGAACATGGCCAGGCACCTCCTAAACGCATTGACAGGCATTTTTGTCTGCAAATTCTGTGGATCATGAGACAGCACCTGCTGGCATTATAACAACCAGAGACCCTGTTGTCAGCAGTGATTCCCCAATCATAGCAAAATAAAAACAGAATAGCCAACATGTACCAAAAGAGCATGGGCCCTTCAGTCTATCATGGATATGAAGGGGCACCCCATGGCCACAAAATAAAAAAAAAAGCATGCCCCCCACCCAATTAACACACCTTTATCTGAGCATACAGTCCTGCAGGCCAGGAAAGGGGGGGGGGGGGGGGTTAGAGCAACCCCTCCCCCCTGCATACACACTGTTTATTTGTTATGTTAGCACTTTTGTTTGCATTATGTGAAATCGTCTAAAATGTATCAGATTGCAAAAAACACATAAAATATGCATTTTTATTATTTCAGGTACTTACATAGCACTGTAAATTTACACAGCACTTTACATACAGTGCTCAGCATAGATGAGTACACCTCTTTTGAAAAGTAGGATTTTAATCAATATCTCAAAGAACACAAGAACAATTTCCAAAATGAGTTTTATAGAACATTTGTTTCGCTCATTACATGAAAGTAAGGTTAATAATATAACGTAGATTACAATATCTTCAGTTTTACTCAAATTAGTTGATGCAAAAATGAATAAACCCCACAATGAAAACTCCTCCATCTAGTATATTTTATGACCCCCATGATTTGTAAGGACAGCACCAAGTCTTCTAGGCATGGAATAAACAAGTTGGCGACATATTGCAACATCGATCTTTTTCCATTCTTCAAGAAGTACCTCTTTTAGAGCCTGGATGCTGGATGAAGAGTGATGCTCAGCTTGTCTCTTCAGAATTCCCCATAGGTGTTTGATTGGGTTCAGATCAGGAGACATACTTGGCCACTGAATCACTTTCACCTGGTTCTTTTTTAGAAATGCAACAGTGGCCTTAGATGTGTGTTTTGAAGATGTGCGTTTTGCCTATGCCTGAAGATCTCTCTACCACTTCAGTATCACAACAAAATGCAAAGAATGAGAAATCACTTGCTTCTCCCCCTAGGAGCATCCTTTGCTGGTTATGCATAGCCCTGACCCTGGAGAAGTCTGGTCCCTATTTATGGTTTCCTGAGAACCGCCCATAAGGATCAGCATTAATGCTGACTTACAAGTAGTGTTCTGGTGAGTGCACATCCATATGAGGTGGTGGATTCCCATGTTGGATCATGAGCACTTTCGAGCATTCCATCTGGTATTGCTGCACCTTGTAATTCCATAAACATACCACTTGGCACTTCTGTGACCTGTAGTGCCACAGACTATTTATATTCAACATTTACTGTATGTTCAGATTTTATGATTCTATGATTTTTATATGATCTGAGACGTTCTATTAGATTTATGTCACCTGAATATTCTAGGACACTCTTATTTACATAAGCACTTTATGATTGCATTTTTCAGTTATGTTTTAGTGCTGCACTTACATTTGAATTTTAGATCGTTGTTTATTGGGGAGATATGTCAACAATTCATCATGTTGCTATGGTCTTTATCAGGTTTATAGTGGCATTATTAGATTCTGCATCGAGTGATATGTCCCTCTTGTAGAGCATTATACATTTTTTGCAAATTTGGGATTAACAGTGGCATGACTTTCTTATAATACAGCATGGAAAATCTGGGCCTGGTGCATTGGATGCCTAAGCTTGTTTGATGGCTTATGAGATTTCTTCCCCAGTGACCTCCTTTTCTAAGAGGTTTCTGTGGGATGCGGATACAGAAGGTAACAGAACACTATTTAGTAAAGTTGCCATTCTGCTTTCTGAATTAGTTAACGTAACAGTATTGAGTAGTAGTCATGAAACAGTTGTAAAATCAGTTGTAAAAAACATCTGGGGGTTCTGGGTAATCAAACCATCTGGTTTTCTAAGTTTTGGGGTAGCCGTATATTGGGGATATCAGGGATATAGCGCCAACAGTTTGCTCAGCGCTTTACAATATAACGGGAGACAATACAGCAACAATACAGTTCAATACAAGAGGGATAGGAGGGCCTGATCCTTCGAGCTTATGTTATAAATTGAGTTGCAGTTCAGTGAGTAAAATAAGTATTTTATCCCCCCAAAAAATATGACTTAGTACTTGGTGGAGAAACCCTTGTTGGCAAGCACAGAGGTAAGACATTTTTTGTAGTTGGTTAGCAGGTTTGCCCACATCTCAGGAGGGATTTTGGTCCACTCTTCTTTACAGATCTTCTTTCAATCCTTAAGGTTTCTTGGCTGTTGTTGACAACTTGAAGTTTCAGCTCCCCCCCATAAATTTTCTATAGGATTAAGGTCTGGAGACTGGCTAGGCCACTCCATGACTTTAATGTGCTTCTTCTTGAGCCACTCCTTGGTTGCCTTGATGGTTTATTTTGGGTCATTGTCAAGCTGGAAGACACATCCAGGATCTCATCAAAGATTTTGCAATACATGGCCCCGTCCATTTGCCCCTTAATTCAGCAAAGCTACCTGTACCTTTAGCAAAAAA